TTATCGCTCTTTGTGTTAATATTTTTTTTTCAATATCTAAATCTCCTTGACACGAAAGGTTTCCAAACAATTTTTTTTAACTAAACGGCAATAAAACCTGATTGACTCGGCGAACCAGAGATTTTGTGTTGTGATGTATTTTATGAGGAGTTCTTAGATTCAGTCGGTGATGTGGGGTGCATCAGATTCAGTCGGTGCTATGGGGTGCATCAGATTCAGTCGGTGCTATAGGGTGCATCAGATTCAGTCGGTGCTATGGGGTGCATCAGATTCAGTCGGTGCTATGGGTTGCATCAGATTCAGTCGGTGCTATGGGGTGCATCAGATTCAGTCGGTGCTATGGGGTGCATCAGATTCAGCCGGTGCTATGATGTGCATCATATTCAGTCGGTGCTATGGGGTGCATCAGATTCAGTCGGTGCTGTGGGGTGCACCAGATTCAGTGGGTGCTATGGGGTGCATCAGATTCAGTCGGTGATGTGGGGTGTACCAGGTCTTTATGTCCCCTCATAAATATCCCCCGTCTGTATTTTTAATATAATTTTATAGCTGGACACGACCGTGGCGTTTTTCCATAGCCCATGTTATACCCTGAGTTATGTGCCTATCAAATTCAACCTAGGTCATAATATATATATATATATATATATATATATATATATATATATATATATATATATATATATATATATATATATATATATATATATATATATATATATATATACATATATTTGAATACAAAAAAGAATTGCGGGATGGAGGGGGGGGGGGGGGGTTCTAGTTCCGCCTTTTATTGTATCTCTTTAACTAAAGATGGATGCAATTGGGAGTAAGTGTTCGAGATACACGATCAGTAGTACAATTGTAGTACAACGGTTTTCCTTTAAAGAAATATTAATGGGTGGTCCGTAGTTGTGTGACTATTTTTATTTAAAGTTCATTTTGTTTTACAAGCGATGATTCATTTTAAAGTTTTATTTTAACTAACCCAACCAACAATATAGTATAGGCCTAGACGTTACAATGTTTGTTTTATTTGAACAGTTGTGCCAATTTTACACCCCCACCATTCAACTTTTAAGCCTTGTAATTAGATTAAATGCTAAATATTGTCTTTTCGTGGGTATTTGTGTTGATTTATTTTAGTCCCCGGAAGTTCATTTCCGTTGTTTTTTCCAGTCAATAGGAAGTGAGGGAGGGGGGGGGGAGTGAGTTGTGTCTTGACAGTTTGTTGTCTAACTAGACGAATTGGAACAACATACTTGGTCTGCGTCTATTCTGTTTGTAACTTGTCTCCCATCGGACTGACAAATACTGAACATGGTTTTACCACTTGCCAAATTTGAGGGATCGTGGTGTTGACATTTGGCGAATTACAAGCCCAATGAGGAACGGTGTGTCACCTTCATGACATCTAAGAGCAGTGTTGTGTCACTGGATACTGACAGTAGAAGGAATTGTGTGACAGTTGTCACTGACACCTTAAAGATTGTTGTGACAAATGTGACGACTGTTATGGCATAATTAGATAATTGTTGTAAAATACTAAAACCATTTATTATTTGAAATGACGGCTATAAATACTATAATTCACAAGTATTTCACAGAACATAATTATGAATCGTGTTAAAAAAACATGTGTTGTATAGAGCTATACTGTATAGGGTATATGAATTACATTTACAAATCCATATAAAAAAAACTCGCTCTTTTGATTTCATGTGACAAAGTCGATAGATTTCCGTTATTATGACATCATGTAAAGTAATTCAGATTTTTATTCCGCTGACTTATTGGTTACCTTTGTTACAAAGGTAACGCCATTCTATATTTAGATTAATTTTGTAATAGAGGTCATCCATGAAATACAGCATCAAGTAAACATTGGACAGCGCTATAAGTAAATATTTATACAGATACTATACTTGTCCGTGAAAGGATCACTAATGCGATTGGTCCCTTTGAGAGTCTACTGAGCTTTGTCACTATAAGAAAATTGAGATGGTATGGGCATGCCACATGAACCAACGGCCTACCCAAACAATATTGCAAGGCATTGTGCCAGGAGGGAGAAGAAGGGGGGGGGGAGACAAAGACGTCACTGGATGGATGGAGGACATCAAAGATTGGCCTGGGCTGCGTCACTGGATGGAGGACATCAAATATTGGCCTAGGCTGCGTCACTGGATAGAGGACATCAAAGATTGGCCTTGGCTGCGTCACTGGAAGGATGGAGGACATCAAATATTGGCCTAGGCTGCGTCACTGGATAGAGGACATCAAAGATTGGCTTGGGCAGCGTCATTGGATGGATGGAGGACATCAAAAATTGGCCTGGGCTGTGTCACTGGATGGAGGACATCAAAGACTGGCCTTGGCTGCGTCACTGGATAGAGGACATATGAGATTGGCCTAAGCTGCGTCACTGGATGGATGGAGGACATCAAAGATTGGCCTGGGCTGCGTCACTGGATGGAGGACATCAAATATTGGCCTAGGCTGCGTCACTGGATAGAGGACATCAAAAATTCGCCTGGGCTGTGTCACTGGATGGAGGACATCAAAGACTGGCCTTGGCTGCGTCACTGGATAGAGGACATATGAGATTGGCCTAAGCTGCGTCACTGGATGGATGGAGGACATCAAAGATTGGCTTGGGCAGCGTCACTGGATGGATGGAGGACATCAAAGATTGGCCTAGGCTGCGTCACTGGATGGATGGAGGACATCAAATATTGGCCTGGGCTGCGTCACTGGATGGATGGAGGACATCAAAGATTGGCCTGTGCTGCGTCACTGGATGGATGGAGGACATCAAAGATTGGCCTGGGCTGCGTCACTAGATGGATGGAGGACATCAAAGATTGGCCTAGGCTGCGTCACTGGATGGATGGAGGACATCAAATATTGGCCTAGGCTGCGTCACTGGATGGATGGAGGACATCAAAAATTGGCCTGGGCTGTGTCACTGGATGGATGGAGGACATCAAAAATTGGCCTGGGCTGTGTCACTGGATGGAGGACATCAAAGATTGGCCTAGGCTGCGTCACTGGATGGATGGAGGACATCAAAAATTGGCCTGGGCTGTGTCACTGGATGGAGGACATCAAAGATTGTCCTGGACTGCGTCACTGGATGGATGGAGGACATCAAAGATTGGCTTTGGGCTGCGTCACTGGATGGATGGAGGACATCAAAGATTGGGCTGGGCTGTCCGTTTGAGAACTGCTCACGGCAGCAGAGAACCAGGACAGACGGCGGATTATTATGAAAAATCAACTGCGGTGCCCTTACGATCTCAATGAGTGGTTTTTTTATGAGCGCAAAGTGATCGTTTATAAATGACGCCTCGTTTTGTTTTCCGATTTCCTTTTTTTTATTGCTCACATCACACATCGCACAAAAATTCAGACCTATCGCGCCACCACTGACGTCACATATCAGCCTACTCTAAGATATTCATTGGGATGGTTACAAATTTGGTAAATTGATATTTTTTAATAGAATTTACACCAAGGCAAAAAATAGCAAAATATATACAGCAAAATGATAAATCCACTTAATTAAGTGATTAATTCGAGTGTTAAATAGTGTTTTAAGAGGTGCAAATCGAAAGTATGAGGGTTGGATGCAAATCGAAAATTGAAAGTTTGTCCCCGGGAAGAGTCGCTGCGCTTCTGGGGGTGACACCATTAAGTGCCGCACTGGGTGACACCTGACTTCGCTACGCCACTGCCTTTATGTATGTCAGTTTGCAATTTTTTATTTATAACTTTCTTCTTAACCCCTACCCCATGGATTCTGTCCCCTCCGTTTTAAAAAGTGTTTATATAAGCTAAATGTGGGGTAAATATCGGATGTCACGTAAAGGAAAAGATGCTTTGATTTTAGCGTTGTTTACAACCATTTTAAAAGTAAACAAGACGAAGGTGAGCAACTCCAACAACTATGTAACCGTGCTAAAATGCATCAGTTATTTCCCTTGTAAAATTCGACTAGAATTCGAAATTGTTGGCTGAGACTAAAATCGAAGGATCCAGCTCCTATCGATGATGAATGTGTCTTTAATCGTGGACTCGCGGATTTCATTTCCAGCCCTCCTAATATTAGATATTGTATAAAAATCAACTTTTATTTTAAATGTATGGTATTAATTTAAATATCCCTATTCGAAATGTATACTACTATGTCATAAAAATTATTTATATTTATTTTTTGCACATTTGTCTTGGACAGTTTTTGGCGACTGCTCAATTTTGTAGACATTCTAGGTTAAATAGATACTGTTCTATGCCTAAATAGATAGTCTAGATCTATATCTACTTATTTTTAACAAGGATGAAAAAAGTCTGTGATCAGAGACAGTAGGGCGTAGGCCTACTATTACTACTAAGATCTCAATTAGAATTGTTTATTGCATTTTTTACACTTTTTCTGTCATGACCTGTCATAACTTGCGAAAGAAATTTCAGATACTTTTTGTTACCGAACCGATGTTTCAAACTATTCACTTAAGACCTGATGACAGTGCAATAATATGCGACACAGGTTTCTGAAAATTAATTAAAATGTGCTATATAAAGTACTAATTCCTCCCCCCTCCCTCGTCTAACAGAACACTGGCATAAAAGTTTGTAAAGAGCTCTATTTTAATGGTTGTTTTTTGTTGTTGTTTTTTGTTGTTGTTTTTATCAAGAGTCTAGATCTAGTTCTAGATAGGCCCACAAGAGGAAGCAGAAATGGACGAAAATCTGGAATGAAACCTAAAGTACAAATGAGGCCCAGTCAAGGCCTAATTTAACAATAATAAAAAAAAATATTTCCAGATAAATCTAGAACAATTAAGGATTATAGGCCTAGTAAAGACTCTAATAATAATAATATAATTTTTGAGCATTGTGCATGATGGGTAAAAGGGGGGGAAAGTTAGATTCTAGATCTAAAGATCTAGATTTTCTAGTTCTTGTGATAGACCTGCGTGCTTTTTAATGCGCAACGAAACAATTTTTTAACGGGGACAAGGTCATGGACTTGTCCATGCTGTCTTCCGTAACAGTTTGTATCACATCGTTTGACACATTTCTCTTTTAAAACCCACTTGGTCTCTAATTTATAGATTCTATTCATGCCACATTTCTACATTTCCAAAATAACGAAAATAGTAAGTTTACCGCCGTTTTTACTTCCTATTATTTAGACTCTAGGATCCAGATCTAGAGAATCTATCTGTCCAAAATATTTTTAATTTAGACATCAGAACGCGACGTTTTTTGGTAATCTATCGTTTTAGGTACGTAAAATCGCCCGCGACTAGTAATGTGAAAAACAGGTGACTCCTTACATTTTAATAATTATTTCACATTTTGAGGAGGATTTATATTTTGAAAAATACAAAAATGTTTCCTTGTTTCATTTATGTACCTGTTTTTAAACAATTGAATTAAAACTTTTCAGTAATAAATGAACACCAGCGATGTTTCCAACAGATGCAACTATGCTCATTTACTATAGCAGCCATCTTGTTAAAGTTTTATTTTTATAGACTTATAGCGCAAGATTCAGGCGGAAGTCACTCTATTTTACAAATGGCTGCTGTTTATATAGCAAATCTTGCTTGCAGACACTGCTGTTTAAAGTTAATTTCTGGCCTATATTGATATTATTTAGCCATTGATTTAGGTTTATTATTCATTTATCTATAACATTTGACACAAACATATCACAATATACTTCTATAACAGCCTTGACAATGAGGTAACGTTTTCGTACATTAATAGCCGCGGGCGATTTTACGTACCCAAAACGATAGATTACCCGTTTTTTTTTACCATTATCATTACTCCATTACTGACTGATTACATTCTTCGTAACTAAGATCTAACCGTGCCGTCGTCAGAGGTAAACAATTCAGCATGCAATGGATTTTCTTTAGTGTTTGGCTTTAAAATTATCATGTGCTTTATGAACGAACGACTGCTCGTTCTGCTAGGAATACTTTAAAAATTATTTTGAATTAGAAGATCTAGGGCCCTCCTAAGGAAGGTCTCTCACTAACTCACTAGACTAGCAACATGGTAACTGTAGCTAGCATCTAGAAATCTAGATCTAGATCTAGTCAGTGAGTCTCATCTTCTAGTCTAGATCTATATGCTAGTCAGCAGTGACATGTAAGGATGATATTTATTTAGAATTGATGCCTTGGAAGTTGGAATCACGAGTTCAGTGAATGTAGCTGCCTAGCTGTAGCTAGACTAGTGTACAAGAGTCTAGAGGTTACAGAAGGACTAGCAATGAGCAAGATAATTGAATTCAGTTTTTAGTAGTAAGACTTAAAAATTATGTTACTGTAACATAAGCCTCAACCTTAATCGAATCTTGGTTTTCAACAGTCCACAGATATATTATAACATTGCTAAAAATTTGTTGCATCTAAATTTCATTTTATTTTGTAAGATAGCAAGTTTATTCATTTGCATTTGGTATCAAATAAGATACAAAGTGACTACATAGTTCACTCAGTGTGATGGGTAACTGAGACTTAAGTGGATAGACCAACATATAGGCCTAGGCGAATTAATTTTTAAGGCCTAGGGCCTAGGCCTATAAAAATTTACAGAAAAAACCTTTATAATAAAATCAATGGCTCCCTAAAAAATCCAGAGTCCTAAATTCAAACACTTATGACAGCACTAGAGAGGCTAATAAATACCTGCAGCAAAATTGTACTGCAGTGGATCCCGGGCCACTGTCAGATCCAGGGTAACGAGATTGCAGACCAGCTGGCAAAAATTGGGGGAAAGAAACCACAACCGGAAACTTCGCTACACCCAAAAGAAATAAAAAGAATAATAAAAAACAAACAAACGCAAATGTGGTCTGACACACACCCTCACTACAATAAAGATGACGGCTTTTATAATCTGACACGAAAACAACAATACATAATCTTTCGACTATAACAGGCCACAACAGACTAAATCAACACATGCACAGAAAACTGAAGGTTGGGTGTAGCGAAATTTGCCCTTGTGGCAAGGCCCCGGAAAACACGGAGCACGTACTCCAGGAATGTACTTTGTATAGCCAAGCACGAGTCAGACACTGGCCCCAGCCCACCCCACTCAGGGAAAAATTATATGGGGCACCTGACAAACTGGAGACCACAGTCCGGTTTGTTCACGAAGTTGGACTTGTTGTCTGAATCCTCCACCATAATCACTATTAAGAACGAAGAAGAAGAAAGAAGAAGAAGAAAATCAATGGTTCCTAAGATATGCGAGAGATTATATAAATGCTTTACTAAAGAAAGTAGGGTTTTATTTTCAGTGCATATAAGTATTGTAAGAGCTTTTGATGTTAAAGGTTTTTTTTATAATCGGTAAATTTTATACTTTTTTTTATTAATTATGAATTTTCAAAATTGCAATTTTAGGTCAATATTTCAGTTTTTAAAAGCCTTTATTTTGTTCTTTATGAAGTTGACACTAAAATTATTTGCTTAAAAATTCTCTCCTTATGTTCTTGAATTTAATAAAGTTTTAATTAATTTCTAATGACAAATTAAACTAACAATGAGATATTCTTGTCTTTGGACACCAATGTTTTAAGAAAGCTTCAATAAAATGGCTGCATTTGAAGTAATTCAAAATTGAGTTGCAAGATTTTCCACAATCCCACAGACAAAAATTAGGAGCTAAATAAAAGCTTATAAAAGTGCATTGGAAATTGTGATGTGTTGATAAAGTATAGAAAAATTCACATATAGTATTAATTTATTGGAAAAGTATATTATTTCCTAATTTATAATAGTGATTTATAACATGAATTGTTTAGGTTCTAAAAATCCAATATCATTGTAATATCTCTGTTTAGACTGATTAGGAAAAACTGCTTATTTTGTAATTACTGACTTTGAGGAAATTCTTCTAATCAAATTTATTTTTACTTCTAAAACATTGTAATTTATTTATATTTTTGCAGGAAAGCGATTGTAGGGAATCTTAAGAAGTTTTACATCTAATAAAATGATTGGCAAATTTTGGTCAAGTATCAGATTCAAAGTTGCTGTTTTAAATTTTGGACCATCATGTCGGAACTGTGCAAACTCCTTGGCTGACATATCATCTGCTATACTTTTGGGACAAAATTCAAATACTAAGATGCAAATGCTGCTAAATAACGTAGGAGTCAAGCTTCATGCTTTGAGCATTGTACTCACTCAACAATGCAATCGTGTTGCAGCATTGCGTCTTCGTAGAGCCTTTCAGATCTTGGGCCTGTACCAGCGTATTTATGGCGAGCAGCTTTTAATGCAAAATGTGAAGAGACAATTCAATTTCAGGACCCGACCTTTATTGACATTGCTGTCAGCTGCTATTTTTCAGTGGGAGCAAGAAAGAGTAACAGATGAAGAACTTGAAAAGTAGGTTTACTAAAAATGTTTTCTGTTGCATATGATAGAGGCCAATGTTATGCCCAGCTTAACTTATACCCCTACTAATATTGGCTAATCTTGTACCTGATTGCTCTTGTAGTGAGTATTGTTAAAATGGTAAAAAAAAAAAAGTTTAAAAATTTGACTTTTTTTTTTTTTTAAATGTCTGTTTAAATTAAACAAAATATATTTCCCAGTATTTGTTAATTGCTAATTTTTGTTTTCTTAAGGTGCTGCTATGAAATAGAAGAAGTCAATAAGCTCTTGGAATCTTCTGATAAAAGTAGTCCAGTACTTGAGGTCAAACCCTGTTCGTATCAACACAGTGACTGGGAAAATGTGGTTAACACAAATGATTTTAAAATTTGGCGGCGTCTTATACCAAACAGCACACTTTATCAATATAGAGGTACTAAACTAACCACTTGTGATTTTATGTTCACTTGTGAATTTAATGGAACATGTTTATTAATGCACTTTTTTGTATTTCAGTATATGGGCATTTTACAGATATTCCACCTCGAGCATTTTATAACACTCAGGCAAGTTTTTGTAACAAAGAACATGTGTGTGTGCTGTTGAAGTTAATATATTTTTAGGTGCATGAGAAGGTTGCATGATCATTTGTTGTCTTAATATGCTGTGCTCACATTTAAATATAAAGGCCATAATTAACAAGAGAAGGCCTCAGAATGGTGCAGCTTTCAGTGATTCTGTTTTTACATATTGAATGATGTTCAGGTGGATGTTGATTACTGGAAAGACTGGGACAAAAACACTATGGAAGTAAAGATTATTGACAGAGATGATAAAACAGACTCCGAAGTAGTGCATTGGGTTTATAAATTTCCTGTGAGTATCTTAGCTAAATGTTTTTCAAACATAGAAGTTAAGATGTTATTTTATCTAATTTTTAACATTAACCACCGTACTATAAAGGTGGATAAATATTCTTATTTTAAATAGTCTACACATTGGTGTATGCAAGACATTATACTATATGTACATCCCAGGTTGATACAAGTTATTGAACCTTAGCACATTGATGAACTATTGTTGGTAGTGGTTTCTTTAATCAATGTGTATTGTTTTTTTTTTTTTCAGTATCCTATGTATCCCAGAGACTATGTCTATGTGCGACGCTGCAAGGTATGCTATATTTATTTCTGTTGTTAAATATTGCTTATATTGTTTTATTTTGATTGTAAAGATCACCTCCAGTTGACATGTTATTTTTTTCAGATATTCTCTTATCCATTTAAGGATATTGTCCCCAGAAAAATAAACATTTTCCACCGATCAACTTTTACTTAAAATTTTTGGAAATCTTTTTCCATTAATCCATTTTTTAAATTTTGAATTGCCAAAGATAAAAAAAAAAAGTAAAGGTAAATTTTTGGAGTCAGAAATGTGCCGAAACATGTTCAGCTTTTAAACCTTACTGACAGCCCTCACCGCTACCTGTTGTCAGACTAATAGCGAGGCATTCGGTGTGACAACAAAGATTTTCACAATTATAATAAAATATTGAAACGTTTAAGAAAATTCTGCTGCTATCACTTTATTCTTTAGCGGACACACATCTGTTTTTGCATTCAATATGATCTTAATCTTATGTTCTTTGCTTTGTCTAAATGTTATGGTATTGATATTTTGTTTTAGGTTAATCTTGCAACAGGTACCATGGTTATCACTGGCCGCTCTACAGATCATCCCAGCTGTCCACTGAGTGATAACTATGTTAGAGTTGCTACTTACTGCTCACAGATGGTCATCAAACCATATACCACTTTTGATGAGGTAACTGGCCTTCTGTGTATGTACGTTTGTAATGTATCCATTAGACAACTTAGTATAGCAGTTTAAAACTAAATGAATATTGAGTTTCTCTTGAGTAAGTTTAAATTCTTGCTATTACGTTACTCCACCTCATCTGCCAAGTTCAGGTTGAATACTTGCAAAAGTTATTTTTCTGTAAGGCATTATGAATGATATGTAACCATATGGTTTCACTAGACTTCTCTTCTAGCAAAAAATATTCTTAAGTACTAAGAAAAGGTAACAGAAGGCATGCAAGCAGTGGCTCCTTGTTAGTTGCTGACTAAAAAGTGTTCTAACATTTGTACCATTAACAAGACTGTAAGATATCAAACAGTGTTGTCAGTTTATTAGATCATTCATTGCTAGCTGAATCAGTTAAAAAACAAAATAACAAAAATTGTACTAGGCAACCAAAGCTCATCACCAATAATTGTATCAGATTTGAGATTTGTATAAACAAAAATGATGGTCAGGAAAATGGAACTCTTTTGGCTGTGGTATACAGAGGAGTGTAAACAATCAGATCTATTCCGATGGTTACTGTGAAAAATTGGGTGTTAAAATTTTATTTTAAAAAAAGACAGAAAATATCCTTTTTCTGTAGTTATAGAGAAAGAAAACCATCAACCTGTCTGCGTCATTGGCATAACTTTTGTCTAGGTATGACATTGATCAAATGGGTCTACTTATAATTGTATTTACAGAGTAACCGTCTAAACTTGTATTCTTTTTTAAGTTGAGAGCACATTCTTATTTTTTAATACTTTTTCCAAATTTTCATTACAGAATGGCTTTTACTACGTTATGACCTACTTTGATGATCCGCAGACAAATTTCCCTCCCATGTGCTATAATTGGCTTGCTAGCACAGGTTGGTTTACTAATCACTTGTGATTATTAGTTTATATTTGTATGAGTTTTAAATATCCTGTTGAAATTTCCATTACAAATTAAATTTGAATGTGAATTGATACCTTTCAGGTGTTCATGAATTTCTTGAAAAGGTCCATAAGGCTGCCTGTCGGAAACATGAAAAGAGCATTGAACCTGCTGCTGCTCGCATTGATAAAAACACCAATAATATTTACTCCAACATTGTTCATCATTAAAAATGCACTAGATCTTTTTATTTTGCCTAGCTTAATCATAATGTCAGTAATAGATTGTATTTATTTAAAATATCTACTTATAAATCACTGTATGGTGGTGTTCAAACCACAAGCAACCAGTCTAAAATATACTGAAGCTCAATATATAACTGAATAGATAATATGGCCTGATCCATTTCTTAAAGGCTTTCTGTTGTTATGGTATTGTGATCTCATTTTGATGATGTACTTTTTAGACTGGCCTTGGTTTGTGTGTTGCGGTTGCAGCATCAGTTGTAAAAAAAAAAAATATTGTAACTTATATTCTTAGTTCATTTTCATACATGTATGCTTGAAAACTTGCACTGATTAAAAATCAATATTCTGCCCAAATATGTAAAATAGTTACATCAAATTATGAGAGGCAAATCCTTGGAACGTTGTGTTTTTTTTCATCAAATTGGAAAATAACTTAGCCGAAAGTACATTTAAAAAATAAAATTTTCATCTATTGTATGAATTACATTTTTTTGAGTATTAAGTAAGAATTCCATGTTAATCTAATTTTTTTATTAACTCAAATAAAAGTATTTTAAAATCTATTAAATACCAATTCTGTTAATGGACATTCAAGTTTACTAAACTATTTTATAACCAATTGTTTGTTATAATAATAAGAATGTGTGCTTTAGAAATTACCATTGCTAGTTTGTAAGAAAAAGTTCAGATGTGTAATTTTCATGTGTATATTTTACCATGGTACACCCTAGGGGCATTACTCACAAATAGCAAATCTCCAGTTATGTAAATACTGTTCAGTGGATTCGTTTAGATTTTCTTCTGCTGCTTTTGTATTGAAGGGGATATACTTAGCTGTTGTATGGTTGATTGTGTTGATGTACACATCTCAATTTTAGCATGAGAATAGCTTTGGCGGTGATATTTGACCAGGATGATTTTTACCACAAAAAGTGCCCACTTTTTTGTTTTAATCTTGTATACATTTTTATTATAGCCAATATGTTTTTCTATAAAGATTGTTTTCATGTGTCATAATCATGAACTCATTTTTAAATTTTGAACTTATAAACAAATCTAAAACAGAATTTTGTCTTCTCATGTATGGATTTTTCAAATTAAGTATGTAAAATGAATGAATTAGGACTTAACAACTGTGTGCCACATGAACAGATTGGAATGTCCAAGGTTTGGAATAAAGAAATTATTTAGTAACATCTTAATGCACTTATGAATGTCTTCAATCATTAAACAGGATAAAAATTTCAATTTTAGCTGTATTTTTATTGGTTTTATTTGAACATTGATGTTGCCAGTGAGAAAACACAGCAAAAAGTGAAAGCTGTCTTAAAATCAAAGCTTTGCACAGATTTTTATTCTTACAAAAGTTGAATAAAATTTTCAAAGATCACATGCTTGATTATATATATGTGAAAAAGGCTTTGAAATTTTACATATATGATGAACACTTAAAATTGAAATGCTTGTCTGTGCTGTTATTTTGTTTAAATGGTAAATTAATCTACAAATTAATCTACTTATTACTTGTGTTTTATAAAAAATAGAAAGCATTTGGATTGTGCTTAAGATTGCATTGACTAGCTGTTTATCACCAGACTGATAAATTGATCCGCATATACTTTTTTTTTACATCATTTAAAAGCTGTTGAATTTAAAGCTTAAAAAAAAATAATCAAGCAAACTTCTCTAATGCACAAAATGTGGTTAAAAAGAAAATTCTTTTAAACTATCCTATTCCTATACTCTATTTAGTAAACCCATAGGCTGCTTAATGACAGAACTAGATTTGTACGCCCCATATAAGGTTAGTGATTATTTGCTTAATATATTAAATTGAAATATTTTCCGAAGGTAGCTAGGTCTTTTTTAAGATTGTAAGAGCTAAATTATAACTAGCAAAATAGTTATTCATTCATAAATTATTTACTTCAGTAATCAAGCTTTTAAGACCTATAAAATATTTGCTTAAATAGAATTTGTGAATGATACAAAGGTTTACCAACCTTAATACAGAGTAAAAAAATATATAAGAAAATATGTAAATTATGGCTAGTATAAAATATGTACAAAGTATGAAGGAGTTGATTGATTCTAAACTAAAAAATCTCTAAAAATAGTAACTAAAATCTATTGTTTTCATGAAAAATAAATAAAGAAAAAAACCAGCAGTTGACTCTCAGATGTTGCATAGTAAAAATTGCACTGTAAATTTGAACAAGGTCTACATTCCTGATAAACAGCCAAATCTGACTTCTGAAAATTCTGTGTTGGGAGAGACACCTAGACCATTCAGCTTTAAGAGGCCGTGATGCACTCTGGTGGATAACAAAATTATTATTGGATTTCAACTTTAAAATCAATGGCAAAACTGATTTTAAAAAATGACTAAAATTTGAGGTTTAGAGTAAAATGTAAATAGCTGGAAAATAAGATGGCTACTCAGTATCGATACCTACTCACCGGTAGTTAATACCAAGACAGCCACCAGTGCTTACTTAATATCAACCTTAGCCACCAGTATTTCTTTAATATTAAGACTTATCCACAAGTTTTAAGTCAATACTTAGCCAACAGTACATACGTACTAAATATCAAGACAGCCACCATTACTTACTTAATATCAAGACTGAGCAAATGAGCAATTTGATTATCTATGTTCCACACAGATATCATCTTGGATTCCTCCTTGGCTTTGATTTTTTCCTCTTTTTTCCTTTCATGTTTTCTTTTTTTCTCCATCTCAATTTCTCTGAAAGTTTTGCGATACATCGGCCCAACAAGTCTGGGTTGTTCTGATGGCTACAAAATTTTGGAAAATAATAGATTTTTCAGAGTAATAATTAAGTTGTTGCTTAGCTGAACATGTACTTATGCAGTAATATCTGTAAAACTTCAAGAAGACCATCCACGCCAGTTTGTCAGTTTCTCTAAGTAGATAAAGACATTCCCATCTCAACTATGGACCTTCTATATCAGATGTGACTTTGACAAATACAGCACATTCTGTTAAAAGACTTAAATTATTCCACTGACCTCTTCACTTTCTTTTTTATTCTCTTCTTCAGGCTCATCTTCCTCCTCTTCAGACAAATCAATGATATCAACAGAGCTTTTGAAATCAGGACTTGATAACTTGTTTTGTATTTGTGATTCTCTCTCTATCTACACAATTGATGTTGATATAACTCGGTTAAATACTAAAGTACTTAAGCATTATTTTAATTCTTTTTAAGGAAACATAACAGTGTATAAGTTTTAGGGCAAAATAATTTCCACAAATATTTTAGTTCATTTTTAACAAGTGTAACTAGCCTATTTATTAGAACCTTTTTCAAAATGTAAGCTTATATTTTTTTTTAAATTAAAAGAAACCCATAAGAATGTATCTACCTGGTATTTAATTTCATTAAATTCATGGTCATTGTAGTTCCACCCTGTAGGGAAACGTGGTCGAAAACGAACTTGCTTAATTTTGTGAATTTCAATGAATGGGAAATCAAACTGAAGAGAGATTAAATAAAAAATTAATAAATAAGACCATGCTTAAAATTAGTTTAAAGATTATTTTCTACCTCTTGTGAAAAAAAATATAGAAATATTATTTCTGTACCGGATCTTTAGTATTTCCCAGTCTTCTCAAATGGCGAACAAACTCTTTCTTCTCCACCTCTTTGACAAGCACGAGGTCTAGTGTGCCGTTATTGAGATGAGTAAACCGACAGAGCCCTTGAGGAGTTAAATCACTTAAGCCTGGCAGTGCAAACAATCCCACATTCATGTATTTTCCTTTCAGTGATCTCCAAGGGTTATCCTGAGGTAGATCTGTTAAAGCATCATTTGAGTACTTATTAAACAGTTGTTTTTAAAATTTTGCTAATTATGAAAATTGACATTTAAGTATCTAAAAAGTGAGCTTGCCAACTCACCAATGATAGAACTTGTGCTACTTGTGAAAGACTGATCTAGAGGGCCAAGCTCTTGAACAAAATCAATTGTTGTTTCTTCAATGTTTGTTTTTATAATTTCTTCATCCCAACAGATGTTGCAGCTAGTAAAAATATTTTAAATAGAAACAAAATAATAGCTATTCTTTCTAATATGGTTAGGTTAGGGTTAATAAATAGTTTATGTATTATAATATTTCTTCATTTCTTCAGGCTCAAAAAGAAATATTTTTGCTATGTTATTTTGAAATAAAATACTTTGGTATTAACTACTAAATAGGTAATTAAGTATTACCCTGTTCTGCATGGTACATCATTTTTTACAGATTTATCAGCAGGAATATACTCAATATCACACTCATAAGCTCTAGAGAAAAAAATAGATGCAAATCTAAAATATTAAGTTTCAAAATTAATTTTTTCACCTTTAAAAAATTAGAATTATTAAATATTTTGACTGTCACTAAAAATATTGAATTTTTAATGAATATAATTGATAGTTAGAACAATTTTAAAATGTAACAGTTGAACTTGCTATTTATAAGGATGACTGTGCCCTCATACCTGAGTTTTGATTTAGTTAAGGCTTTGATAACTGCAGCATCAATTCTTTTGGAACCAAGAGCTTTGTATCTTTTCATGAACGTAAGCACTTGACCAGCAAAGCCATACTGGCAATTGAACCCCCATTGGTGAAATTTATCTGGCGTAGCAATAGAGCAGACATCTACTGCCTGGAAATGGCCTAGAGAGCATTTCACACTATAGTACTTGCAGTTGCATAATTTAATATAACTTGTTGGTACACAATAGCATTTCCTAATTCAACTTCACAAAGACCAAATACATGCTATTATATTTTATAATAGCAACCCAGTAAAAGTTTCATAAATAATTTTAAACTAGGAGGATAACTGTTATTGGCTTTGATATAGTAGCATTTTGATATTGTTAATTCTGAGTATAACATACCAATTTAATAAGGGAAAACTATTTAAGTTAAAAATGTATACTGGGATGTATTTGTAAGTGTAGCTACTTGATAGTGAAGTCTATATTTTACAAGATAATTATATGTTTTGAGGGGGGAAAATGAGGTCTAACACTTACAAAAAAAGCTTACCATGAATGATGTGCAGTGCACCTGTTACTGGATCAGCAACGCCCATAACAGAATGTGCAACTGTGTTGGTTTTTCCTAACAAAAAAAATATTTTGTGAATTCACTATTGTAATAGAACTCAACACTAATGCCTGCAAGAATGGTGCTACAATTTTTACCAATTGGAATAATCCCTATTGGTACTGGACATCTAGCAGGGTTTGCTCCAGATTTCATGTCCACTTCTTTCTCTTTTTGTGTCCGAGTCAAAACAGCATCAACCACTTGGCTCACTGTTCCATCCCCACCCATGCATACAACACTGCAAAAAGTTATAGGTAAATAACATAACCTAAACACATTTGAAATAAGCTTCACACATGTGCTATTAGTGGGAACTTCAATCAGTGAAAAGAGGGATGAAACATTTATTTCCATATCTGTGTGTATATATATATATATATATATATATATATATATATATATATATATATATATATATATATATATATATATATATATATATATATATATATATATATATATATATATATATTCCATATCTATTTTAAAAATATAAAATTATGACATTCAAAATGAAGGTGTGTCCTCTCCAATAGGTGTAACTTAATATGAGACCACTGTCATCTAGTGGGTCTATGAAGGAAATAGTTTTAAAATCCCAATTCCTTTGTCACTAGCTACTATTAACATTGTTAAGAATAAAAAGCACATGAATTACCAGTCATAATCCTCAAGATTTAAATGAATCACCTCTTGTTTTATAAATTCATTATGTTGTACCTCTGTGAAACAAAGGCAACACACAATTTTTAAAAATTTGAATCTTGTCCAATAACATACAATAATACATTATTAAGCAGCATTTTTGCTTCAAATTTATTATCTGTATCTAAAACATTACAAAACTTCCTATTTAAGTGTTGAATTGTGTTTTTTTACTGAAAAAAACCCAGAGCAGTGTTCAAGCACCTTTCTTTAAATAATGTTAGTTAAGTGAATACATAACAGAGTACTAAAGTTTTTTTTTTACAAAATGTAAGAATTAATGAATGTATTAATTGAAATTATCAGCTTAAGTAAGTTGTTACTGAGTCCAGGCTTAAAAAGAATGTAATAAGAAACTTCAGTTCCTCACCTGAACAATCTACACTCACATCAGCATTTTGAAATAAGGGTAGAATTGATTTTTGATATAAAACTCGTCCGGATTTACTTCCAGCAAATGGTTGAAGAAATAATTTTATAGTAGTTGGCCTTTTATGAGCATCTATTGTAACAAGAAAAATATTTCAAGATATTAAAATAGATTAAATCAATCAATCAAAATATATCATTTTTTTATTTACTTCATCCCTTACATAAATTTTATTTGTTATTATATTGCACAATCTATTGTACTGAAAACAGATCACATATTAGTATTTAAAAAAACTTTAATAAGCTGAGGAGAAATTGTAAACTCACGTTTTATATATTTTTTAATTTTATCTGACCAAGCAGAACACAGCTCATCACTGGGGTGTTCAAAGAAAATAGATTTCTCCCTTAAAATATTTTCATTTTTTCTCTCGATGGTACTCAGTACCAGACCTAGGCAAGTCCCCTCATTTTCTTTATCAGTACCAGCTTTTGGCTGTCTCTTAACATATGCACTAAACAGACTAGAAAGGTATATTCCTTCTGATGATGAGCTCTCAGTAACTGATGAGCGGCGACTATTAAAACCAGATAAACGCCTTGCAGATTTTCTTCGACCTAATAAGCAAAATAATAATGATGTGTTGAAGAGTTTTAATACCTTTTATTTTGTTTAAAGGTAAAGTTAATACATGATATGAAATCAGAAATCTTTATAAAAGTAAATACGAATTAATAAATAATAGAAAAAGCATATTAATGACTCATGATTTATTAATCAAAGGCCTAAGTTATAATTCTCATCTATCATTCCTATTATAATTTTTTTAAATAAAAAAAGAAACATTACCCAGAGCACTCATTGAAGACCATGAAATCCTCCCATTTTTTAAAGACAAAACTACATCAAAACCTTCCCCTTCAACAGTAAATACTGCTTTTAGGTCTTCATCATCATGTATTTGATTGTGTGATGTATTTTCTTCAGCTTCCATTGTAATAGTTTCGTCCTTAGGTTGTTTGATTTTTAATCGTGTTCGTGAATTAAGATGATTGTGATTTTCGATTTCTTCATCATTATTACTCGAACCATTCAGATGATTCTTGGATTCCATAGTTCACTAAAAAAATAGTGACTGAGTTGGAGAGTTATATCTAGTAGTCATAGAAAAACTACGAATACTGAAACTGAAGCTAGCACAAGCACCAGAGTATTTTTTTTTCTTATCATAATTATAATATTTAGCCTATATATTATATAATTATAATAGTAGTGGTGTAACTAACTATTAATATAATATGATTAGGCCCTATATTAGCCTATTCAACTGAATTAAATAATTACTTAATTAATTAGCCCCTTTAGTTTTGGTAGGATTGCAAATACGCCACAGGTATATAGCTAATAATTAACTAATTGTAATTGGCTTAGTAAATGAATACTTAAATAAATAAATATTAAATAAAATACTAAGTTACTAATTTTTTATGTTTTAAGTTTTTAATAGTGTTACTGCACATGTTCACTGTAAGAGGTAAGACGTAGAACTAGGCAGTATGAACTGAACTGCCTGATATTCTTTCACACCACTGCTACTAACTAACGACTAGTAACTAGATCTAGTACTAGACTAGATCTAGATCAGTAGATCTAGATCTACCACCTTTAAAATCATGGCTTTAACACTTTAACAAGTTTAACTTTAAGACTAAGAAACGAACCATTATTCTTGTACAATGTATTTCAGATGGTAAATCTAAGTAGAATTTAGTAAAACATTGTCTTAGTTTAATGTAGGCCTCATACAAAATTGTTAAATAGATCTAGGCCTACTATCTGTGAATTTTCATGATGTTCCGCTATGCTATAGTCTATAGTCTAGCTATAGTCACTATACACGACACTGTATTTCTAGATCTAGCGTATGTATAATATTCTTCGGCAAGTTCTGCAGCAACAGTAATGCAGCTTGGTCATTTGTTAAAATTTTGATATTGTTTACGTGTTGCTAAGAGATAGACCGTAAATACTAAATACGACTCCATTTTATTGGAATCAAAACGATGAATAAGTAGTTTAGGAGCAATAAATATTATAAAGAGTATAGATCTAACAGCTAGCAGGTTTTTGGGGGAGAAAATATTTTTTTCATGTATGCCTACTATTAGTGTAACACATTAAAATAAAATTGTATTACGGCTGGTGGCAATAGCAGAATATATATTTTTGAACTGAATACTAAATAACGAACTTAACCATATTGATTGAAAAGCGTTCAAACTCCACTTGAGGGAGACTTCATAAAAACAAGTAGTAAAAATCTATACAATATTTATTATAAAAATTTTAAAATATTTAAAAATAAGAAAATAAAACCAAATTCCTAAAATGTGTTAAAAATTTCATGAGCAATCTACGATTTTCTACTCTTTCAAACTAGCAGTATAGGCGCTGCCCTAGGACGCACTGGTGTTGCAATTGTATATAGGCCAGTATAGTGCCCATAATTTCCCTTTTAATTAATTTCTGTACTTGAATAGAAATGTATGAGAAAATGTAGCTATGGGGATGTCATAAGGGAGTATCCATTTATGACGTCCACAAACATTTGGAAAGTTTTAGATCCTCGAACACGTCCACACTCCTCCTTCCCCCCCCCCCCCCCCCCCCCCCCCCCCACAATGTACACGTGGACGTCCATACAAATTTAGTAGACCTATCAAAATAAGCGGAGTGGTAAAGTTCATGGTTGCTAAACCGATAAGTCTCGAGTTCGAACCCTCGGGCAAAGGAGAGTCAACTCATAGACCGAACAAATCCTGCCTTGTAGTTTGTTCTTGGTTGGACAAAGGCTATGCAAGCAAATTCTGAAATCGGAGTCAACGGCCCAAATGGCGCATAACCAGTTGACACGTATAATTAATTGTATTGGAGGGGATCCCTTTGAACACTAAAATTAAGAACGAAGAAAAAGACGATTAACATGTAATGTATATTAATTGATATTGTAATATAGGATTTGATATATTCGGTAACATCTAATCCTAAATAATATTAAATGTGAAGCCTAGAAAGTGTTGAAAAAAGTAAGTATATTTTCAACGCCATAATAAAATTAGGCACTATGTGTGTATTGTTATAATAGTTTCTGTCAATACCAAATTTTAATATTTTATTTTGTATTTAATAGTATTTCTTCTGCAACTCGTAGGATTGGTTATAATATTAACAATCATATTTGTAAGTAATAACTTCATCTTGTTCATGGCCTCTATCTTGTTTAGTTTACTTTTCGTTTTACACGAGAGAATTACTCATGTCATAAGACGCGTCAAGAGTTCGTGCAAAGTGTAGAAAAATTAAAGAAAGAGTAAATTTTAAGAATTTAAAAGTCTAGCATATCACTAGTTTTCGAGCTGGTTTTTTTTTTTATCTAGAGAAAAGTTGGGAATTTTATTTTAGAAATAAAACTTTTCCAGACAGACAGGAAATTCGCAATCTACATATAGTCAGTTATGTAAGTCAGGGGTGGACTGGGCTGCAGGGATACCCGAAAAATTTCCGGTGGACCGCCGAAAATTTTTTATATCGGTGGGCTGCCAGGAAAATATCCCGGTGGCCACCAGAGTTGGTGATAATTTATTTTTTAATTTGTTTCTTTAATCATCTAAAATAATGGGATCAAACTTTTTACATGTTTAACCAAAAACTATTTAAAATAAACCGGGAGCTAGATATCTATATCCCCTAAACTTTCTCGAACATTCTTATATAACACTATGGGGAATGGTAATTCGGGTTATAGACATGATTTTAATAAAAAAAAAATAATTACTTAAACTTTTTAAAAATAATAGAATCTCGCAGAAAAAAAGAATTGCACAACAAGTGACGTCAAACGATTTGTGTTTGAAAGAATAGAAAATCGTAGATTGCTCATGAAATTTGTGTGTATAATAGTCTGCCTGTCTGTCTCAATGTTTCTTCCAGACTTTTTTCTCCGGGGGTGCACTTGAAATTTTCGGGGAGGGGGGGGGGGGGGATGGGCGGACTAAAATTTCCGGGTGGGGGGGGGACGGGGACGGGGGACGGACGACGAACACTGTTAAAAGTATATATTTCCTATATAAATTCCATTTCGTGTGGGGGGGGGGATGTCTGTCTGTCTGTCTGTCTGTCTGCCTGCCTGTCTGTCTGTCTGTCTGTCTGTCTGTCTGTCTGTCTGTCTGTCTGTCTGTCTGTCTGTCTGTCTGCCTGACTGCCTGCCTGTCTGTCTGTCTGTCTGTCTGTTTCAGTTAGGTTGACGAAATTGCATTCATAAGTATATGATCATGCACGGTTTTTTATCAACTTCTTAGCAATTTCCAGAAATGGGAAGTGGTACTTAACTCAATTTCCCTTTCTTTTCTAGGAAAACTAGCGATTTTGTTACAGCTTTCTATATGTGATATAGAAGTGTGATCCTAACATTAACCGCTATATAAAAATATTCGAGAAAGTTTAAGGAAGCTTTATTTTCTATATAATTCAGTACTCAAACTACGTAGACAATGATACCCCGACAAAATGGCTACCGACATAACGGTCCCCAGTCAATAGGAGTCCGCGATAAAGATGTCGCAGCTGAAATGGCTTTTTTTTATTGTCATCGATGGGACAACTCACACAGCAGAGAATTCAGGAAAATGTTATTTTTAATCTCCCCTTGTGCTGGTTGAATTATGACCCCTGCCCTCTGTAATCCTTATGTTGTCACATATGCGTGTCTTACTTTTACGTAGATTATTTTCATTGATTCAACGGTAATGGTTTTGTTGACTTCGTGTTCACGTGATGGGGTATGGCGCCACCTCACACCTGTGGTTAGTCTATAGATCGGAAGAACACTTTTAGACAAAAATAAGCGGATCATGTATGAAACATCTGGTGACGTCAACATGCAGCCAAGAATAGATTTTTCGTGTTTTCTCGCGGGGGAGAGCGTCGCTGATCTTGTAAACAGATGAGCTGTAGTCAAACCACCCACAAATACAAGGCTACCACCGTCTTTGTCCATTTGTCTTCTACTCAGGGGCGGAACTACAGTGCCGCCAGACCCCGCAATGCGGGGGGGCCCAGACCGAATGGGGGCCCAAAAATCCCGGCTAAATTATTTAAAAAAAAAATTTTAATAAAAAAATTAAAAAAAAAAAATAGGTGGAGGTCGAGTTGTCTTTCTTCTACAGTTACAAAAAAACACGATAGTCGGCAAACGTCTTTGAAAAAAATGTACAGACTATAGCTCGAGAGACCGCCAGACATATAGACAACTTCAAAGACGCAGGGGCGAAACTACAGTGCCGCCAGACACCGCAATGCGGGGGAGGGGGGCAGACCGATTGGGGGCCCAAAAATCCTGGCTAAATTATTTTTAAAAAAAATGTAAAAAAAAAATTAAAACAAAAAAAAAAATTAAATTTTTTTTTTTAAAATTAGGTGGAGGTCGAGTTATCTTTCTTCTACAGTTACAAAAAAACACGATAGTCGGCAAACGTCTTTGAAAAAAATGTACAGAATATAGCTCGAGAGACCGCCAGACATATAGACAACTTCAAAGACGCATGGGCGGAACAACAGTGCCGCCAGACACCGCAATGCGGGGGGGGGGGGGGGGCAGACCGATTGGGGGCCCAAAAATCCTGGCTAAATTATTTTTAAAAAAAATGTAAAATTTTTTTTTTTTTTTAAATTAATTTTTTTTTTTTTAAATTAGGTGGAGGTTGAGTTATCTTTCTTCTACAGTTACAAAAAAACACGATAGTCGGCAAACGTCTTTGAGAAAAATGCACAGACTATAGCTCGAGAGACCGCCAGACATATAGACAACTTCAAAGACGTAACCTACCTTTTTACTTTTAGTGGCGTCGATTAGGAGAACAAAAAAGGATTGTTATATTGTTTACATTATTATATATATATATATATATATATATATATATATATATATATATATATATATATATATATATATATATATATATATATATATGATTGTGTGTTTAAACTACTGGCCTGGACTCTACAAAAAATATAATTATTTATTTCGATGTCATACATTTATAATTGCGTTCATTTTTACTTTAACAACTGTATCAATAAACTTGTGAAAGTTTAAGTTATCTCCCTTTAGCGAAGCATCTGAAGTTTTTGCCGGCACGCTTTGAAATCGGGCTGGGGAAATGTTACGGCGACTATTCTGGTCTTCTAGACGACCGGAAAAAGTCGGCACTATTGATGTAGATGTTTATCGGCACTTTCTAGTCCCCTTCCCTTGAACCTTCCCAACTCTCACCCCTCCCCCCTCAACCCCCTCTCACCCCTACCCCTCACCTCTACCCCTCACCACAATCTTACTCTTACAATAAGATGTAATGCATAGATTAACGAACCGTCTATGAACTACTGAACTGTAAACTGACCACTTCTGCACATTTTGTTAAAGACACTAGTCAGTAGTTGTTCATTTACCTGATGAAGTATTTTGTTGACGAGTCTAATTCACACAAGGAAGGTAAGGCTCGTCTTTATATTATTAATTGTTTTATAATTAGTACACGTATTAATTGAACATTAGTTATTAACACTAAATACATTAAAGTTAATCAAATTTAGGATACAATGATCTAGCTTTTAAGCCTAAAAACAACCAAAAGATCTATATCACCTTTGAATGTATTAATGTTTAATTTCATGTTTAGCCCGTAACGGGGAGGGGTTATATTCGGTTATAATATGGGTGGGTCTTTGGCAGTGTTTCTTCCAGACTTTTTTCTTCGGGGGGGGGGGGGTGTGGACCGCACCGGGTGACACCATTTAGGGGGGTGACACCAAGGCAAAACATAGCAAAATAT